TGCCAAAAAAAGCTCCCCTCGCCCAATTTAAAGGACTGATTGCTTTACTAATATTCAGCTATCCAGTTCCAATTATAATCCCATTCAAACTTCAAATCCACTTACCATTACCCATGATGAACTTCAAATACAAATGAAATGGGAAGTCACTTAGCATCAATACTTACATACATGCATGCATATATACATTTGTACAACTTAACATCCAAAAGCAATGGCTAATTCACCTGGCATCAGACYTGCTTAAGACCTCATCTGGATATTTCCGCCGATATTTCTGCCTCCATCGGAACCTACAGCCCATTGAAGATCTCCGAATGCATCAGAACATGAMCACTTACTATTTATTTGTAAGAGTAAAGRATAAAAACAATCCGATAAATGAATATAAGACGGTGAAAAAAATGAAAGGAAAATAAAATACACTCACGAGAACTCCTGAAATGCGTAAACTACGGGATCGATCTTCGGTATCACGACTGGTAATCTCTCGAATAATACAGCTGCCACAATCCTATCTGTATTTGAATGAGAAGATGTAGAGAACCCCCGCTTTCTCAGAGATCCAGATAACAATTTGAGCTTCTGCATTGCTCGATCAAAAGTCAAGGCCTGTTTTTTTCATTTCCTGTGCTGATTCCAAATTTTAGAAAATCTACTAAAGCCATCTCTTAAACCCTAGAAAAAGAGTTAACACGAACACGCGGAACTGAGTCAGAAACCAACTGAAAAATGAATTGCGGGAAGCGGGCTGCGGCGCGCCCCAGTGCTTTCGACCCGTGGTCGAACCGTCAGATCGGAGTGGTCAATCCGTCACTCACTCGGACAGATTTTGGTCAAGACCTATTAATTGAAAAAAAAAAAACCCAGTCTCTAACATACGAATTCTGGAAACAATTTCCGAAGGAAGCAAAAGCAATGATTTTGATTCTACTCCTAATGGGCCAGGGCCATGGCAACGGCAAGTTTGGGTCTTGGGATTGATTAAAAATGAGCYTTTATTTGAATAATCACTTATTTTGGGTCTTGGGATTGATTAAAAATGAGCCTTTAAAAATAATCACTTGAAATAAATACTTATTTCAAAAACCTAAAATATATTA